TTTCTTTTTTTTTTTCATCTTAAAGTGGCCAAGTTTGGACAACACTGCATTATTGTAAGGGTAGGAAATTTCTGTGAGTATGTATCTTTTTAGAAAAGAAAAAGCTTATTTGACAGAACACATGCAAACCCTTACGTGGGTGCGTGTATATTTCTCACTACACCAGCTTTGGAAATTATGTTTCTGTTGAGACTCTAAAGATACGAATGAGATCTCATAGCTCCAAGTTTCTTGCTGAAAAAGAGTTGCCTTTTCAATTGCTATCAAACTCAACACAACTCAACAGGATTAGAGCAATGGGTAAAGTGTATGAAACATCCATGGGGCTGAATCTGTCTTCCGCATAGCTAAATAAGTTGTCTATCCTGTGAGTGTATAGGCATGAACCAACTTTTCTTAATTAATGCCTGTGAGCTGCAGCTAAACTGGGCCACCAATTTGTGTGGGAAAATATCTGGGTTTTTTGGAGGGGGGGATACTTGTGCACTCTTGCAACTATTTTCTTTCAGCCCCCAGGATTTATAGTGTATGTTCGCTGCTGGAGTAATATCTTAAAAAGGCAGGATAAAATTATTATTATATATACACAACATGAAATCACAGCTGCCAGTTCTGTAGCTGGCGTTGGCCTTCATTCGCATCGAGTTCTTCCCAAGAACCTAGGACCGTATAATATATTGGCATAGTGTATGTGCGGATCCAAGCAGTGTGGCCTTTTGTAATTGACAGATGGAAATTTTGTCAATGTGCAGATGTTTGGGGTTTTTTTAATATGGCACCCAGTGTACCAGTAACCACTGGTACCACCACGGGTGGTTTATGCCATAATCTTTCAACTTTGGTTTTCAGATCTTGGTACTTTGTGATCTTCTCCAATGTTTTGTCTTCATTTCAACTATCCTCTGGTATTGCCACATCAATTATCCATACTTCTTTTCCACCACAGTTAAGTCTGGTGTGTTATGCGCCAAGAGTTTTTCAGTTTATATTTGGAAATCCCCCAATATTTTAATCTGCTCATTTTTGACTTTTTTGATTATATGTTCCCACCAATTTTTCATTACTGGCGCGCGATAATTTTTACAGATTACTGTTGTTATTAATATTATTTCCAAAAGGGGTGAATATTGCTTTTGTCTGTATAGCAGTTCTGGGTCATGCGTGATGCCCTTCTGTCTAGACATTAGGTAGAAAGGGTCTCTGTTTTAGTGCCCTGTGTTCACATATGGTTTCTTGCCATGGTTTGTTTACTGCTGATTTATTGAGTAAACCACAGTTGGTTTAGTTCAGACAGTATGTTAAAGTGTGAACCATGGTTAGGATAACACGATGGGATTACTCAGTTGCTTTATACCTTCATGCCATACCAACAGCTGGTTCCACTATCAGACTGTTTTTACTATTAGGATCTTTGTCTTAACATTCACCTGGAACCTGCCTTCCTGTAACTGAAGGATGTTATTCCATATTCTTCTGTATGGTAGGAAGCAGTTTATAGCTGCGTTGTGTATGACACCTCTTTCAGATACTTGAGGATTATACTTTTACCCCCAATCTTAACTCTAAATGGATCAAGGGCCCTCTGCCTTTATACGTTATAGGAGTTAGTTTCCAGGGGGTCTCATTGCCTTTCTCTAAACCTGAATCTGTTTGAAAGTTCTGTCCAGAATGGGACACAGCATTCAAAACAATGTTGGACCAATGAAGATTAGAAGAGAACTATTCTCCAGGTATAGAAACTGGATCTATTGAAGGCAGGATAGAGGATGAGGATGAGGATTGCTGCTTATATTGATCGTTGAAGAACAAGAGTGAGTCTTCTGGGGCGTGTGACTAGAGCAGAACTGGGTTTGTGGGTTCTTAAATTATGGATAAGTATTTTTTGAATCCAGTGCACGCTGGATTGAATTGCACCTTGCAAAGAACAGATGTTAGTTTCTTAAAGATTACATCACATCCTTACAACTACGCGGCATCCACTAATGTTTCTTTTGCCTTTTCTCGATAAGGAAGCATCATAAAGGGAAATACGGATGTGGTGAAAGAGCCTCTTTGTTAATCATCGTTCAGTAGCAGGGTTTTAAGGGGAGGAAGGGAGGGATGTCCCTTGCAGCTCCAGACAAATGAGTGAAAAAGATAGGGAATTTGCTTTGATGTTGATCAGAAATGACAGGGCCACCTAGATAGGCTGAAGCGTTGCAGCTTCCTGGAAGTTTTTTCATGTTAGCAAGAAATAGCACTAAGTACAGGGAACATAACCAGTCTGGAGCCTTGTGTGGGGGAGAAGGACCGCTGCATAATTCTAATGGGAGTGGTAAAAGTGCATCTCTTCAGACTGCTGATGGCTTTGGGAGACCCAGAGATTTGTCTATTTAAAGGAAGGCTTCTAAACACTCATTTGGAGCAATAAGGAGTGGGTCTGTGTCTGCAACAAACCGTTGTGCCGTCAAGTGGTTCTACTCACAGTTCCAGCCATCCCATTTACTGTTCTTTCCCCAACATCTCTGATTTTCAATCTCCTCCCCAACACACAATCTTCCAAGGCCTTAAATATCCTAATATTGGACTGATTGCTTCCTTTTCCTCCTTATAGGATTCTTCTCTTCTCCCCTCCCTCCCTCCCTCCTTCCCTCTCTCAGGATTCCCCCAAGTTTCCTTTTGTGAATGGCTGATGCTATTTTGGGTCCATAAGGAACAATGCTCAGAAAATGAGTGCCATTATTAGCTTAGTTACTGTAACCTTACAATAAAGGTAGTGCTAGTACTCATGATTGGTGCACCTTGTCTGGACTATCTCAAAGAGCTGACAGCCGGCTTCTGGAGCGAGGTTCCCCCCCAAGATTCAAACGGCCGCCACCCTACTTATGTTTCGAAGGGCCCTGAAGACGGGGCTCTTTGCCCAGGCCTTTGGTGAGGATGATCGACACCCCTTCTTTTCTTACGTTCCACCATCTTTGTTCTTTTTTGTTTTGTGGTGTTTTCTTGTTTCAATATCTTTTTTTTTAACACTTTGTAAACCACCCTGAGTCGCCGGGAGTGGGGCAGCATATAAATTTAATAAATAAGTGAGGGCCCCAAAGCCTCCAGGGCCTTGTCCCTGGATGTGTTGGATGAAATAGGGTCTGTGATGGAAAAGAAAGAAACATCCCATCTTTGTTTGAGAGGAAGGGGAAGGTGCATTCTTCATGCCCCCCTCCTCATCCTCAGGAAAATGATTCGGCTGGGGTGTCCCTGCTAGTCCCTCTGCCCCCTCGGAAGTGGGAGCACAATCAGCTCTGAAATATCAGCTCCGTTGCAGCTTTATTCAGTTTCATTAGCCTTGCTGCCAGAGCGAAACCCTTGAGACCGGCTCCTTCCCTTGCTAGGGTACCCTGGCAAGGCAAGGTAGCTGCCTTTCCACGTAATTAACCAATATAAAAACATAACAGCCAAACAATAAAGCGCAGGCAGTGTGCATCTTATTAATTAAATCACCCAGACAGGGACTGCTGGAGTAATTAACTGCTAAACAGCAGAAGGAGCTTCTGCTTAAGCGATTTGTGTTAGGAGGAGAGTCGGAGCGTGCTCAGCGTGGCTCAGACCCGTGGCAGGATTATGCCAAGCTTTGCTGAGGCTGCGTTGGACCGCAGCGGTCATGCAGGGTGAAGAGGATGGGAATTGTAATCCAACACGATGTGGATATGACCAGGCTGGGGATGGCTGCATTTTAAAGTAGGAAATGTCCTATGAGTGAGACCCATTTTTGCTCATTTGCAAAATGCTGTTGGCGTCATCAGATAATGCTATATTGCATGGAGTCACCCTTCCTAGAAAGGAGATAAATATAAATGTGACCTGCAACAGAATGTTACAGCATAGAGTGCTGGCATACAGTAATTGATAATAAGAGCCTAGCAATTTCCCCCTCCCCCCCCAGTGACTCCAACTCCATATCCATGAACATAACAGCTGCATTCACACGAGCCAGGATTTATTTTAAATGCCATTTATTAAAGAAACTAGGAACAAGAAAGTGCCAGTCTTGCAAACAAGCAAAGTAATCAGGGCCAAGGGAAAAAAATCCTGCTTTGTTTGCTTACAGGCAGAGTCGGAAATCATTATATCTTTTGTATATTGTTTTTAATGTGATTGCTGTATCCGATCCATGCTGTAATACTGTTTAAAGTCCCTTTATAATGGGTGTGTCATATCAACTCATTGATATGGAGGAAGGAGAAAGAGAGAGAGAGGAAGGAAGGAAGGAAGGAAGGAAGGAAGAGATAAGCTTTGAGGATTTGTCATCCAACCAGGGAACACAGTCTGATATTGTGAAAAAGGAAAGTAGGAAAGGTTTGCCTGTGAGCTAAACCAAAAACATACTAACACATTAG